TTATAAAGGGCCGATTTCAACTTGGATTTTATGAAAATCAGATCAGGAATGATGATAACAACCAATAGTGGATTTGCTTGCCCTCATCACAACTGAGCCAACAATTGCGACCTTAATTAGAAAAATGGAATATCAAGGTGATAACAAAGGAGAAGAAAACACTTTTTACCAGTCTGCCAACACAACACGAGAAGACAGATAAACTTGAGTCTTCAGGGAGTATATCGCATTAAATGCGGCAACTGTAAGCAGAAGTATATGAGTGAAACAGAACGAAAATCGGCCTACGAATCAAGGAACATCAAAGACTCTGTAGGAATATGGATACGAAAAGATCCGAAATAGCGGAACACATTGCACGAACTGGCCAGAAATCGACCGAAAGGTTGGCTACATGCGGTGAAGATACAAGAAAACGCAAGATCCGAGAAGCCATCGGAATACTGACCGAGAGAAATCTAATGAACATTAGACTTGAGGAAGGCAGGATCAGCGATAACTTTGCACATTGACTAAACAAACTCGGAGAACACCAGGCAACAGCAGGATCAGCATAAAGAAGACGAATGGAATAATGTCATATCCTTAATTTTAGAAAAAGAGATTGCACGGGGATGAGAAAAGAACAATCAGAAGCCAAGAGGAGACGTCGTTAGTGAGCATAATCAAAACGAGTAGAACCACGACATTTGTGGGTTGGCACACAAATACCTAGGACATATGAAGCGATGGACATTGTATTACAGATATAAACAGGAAAGACTTAAGCTATTTGGCTAGCAAAAGACGTGTTTGATCTTAAACGAGATCCTTGAATCACGACTATTGTTAACCAACTAGCTCTAGCTTCCACTGATTCTATCCTCTTTCTATCTATAATACCAAGTCTATGACTTGCTATGCCCTAGTCTCTCCTGTGCCAACCCACAAACGTTGTGGTTCAACATTGAACCTAATCAAAGCCAGCAGTACCACGACAATTGTGAATTGGTACACAAGCGACTAGTGCCTGGCAAGTCAAATACTTGGTATTAGGGATAGAGACAGGATAGACGAGGCGACGATTGGAGCTAGTTGGCTGACAGTAGGTTTTACAAGAGACGTGGTCCATGTATCAAAGGCATGACCATGAGACTTACTCAGAGGCTTAAGCCTCTGATTAATCATCAGGTGCAGGGGATGGACGAATAACGCCTCGAGTAGCACAGATGGAGGGGGGCAGGGGTCGAGTGAAATACACGTAACAGGGAGATAGTAGACGGATTCTACTGGGCAAGAGGGAGACTATGATAGGACCCAGGGAAAGACTACATAACAATATGACAGACTCTGGTCAACATTCCTAGCGCAAGTGTGAAGGGGTTGAGAACGACGGTGTGGAGCGTGAAGGGTTTTCATGAATGCCGTTCAAAGAAGCACACCACTACATCGAAATAAGCACGAAAATAAGTGTAAGAGTGAGGACATGATAGGAGGATATAAGAAATGTAAATAGCCCAGGGCAGAAGGGGAGTTATTACAACTGTTTAGCACACGTTTGGTCAAATGATCGGCTTCACTTGTTTCTTTTACGAGCTGTTGTGTGGTGCTAAGAATGGCGAGACTCAATGACGATGCCGGCGAAACTTCTGGGAATGCACCACGTCCACGGTCCGAATAAGGAAATGATCATGCATACAATGGACTCCAGACTAGATGCGTTCCTCTAAGTCTTCCTACCAATATAATTAAGTTGCAAAAACAAAGTCGAACAACTTCTTATTTCTTGTGTTATCTCTGGATGTTCCTCAAGAGTTTGTATCAGAGCTTGAATACCTCATTGGACAGGAATGTTTGTGTAATAGGCACAAATTCAAAACTTATTAGCCTATCCTCTTATGAAATTGTCTGTTGATCTAGCAATTTCACATAATCATACGAATATTTAACTGATTATAGCCAATAAATAGCAGAGTTCCTTAGTTGTATGCATAAAAACCGTGAGTATTAATGCATCACACTTCCTTTATTATTTACAATTAAACTTAGAGGGATACTCTATTGGTGAACCGTAGTAAGACCGTAAGCCGTGGAAACCCTTGCATCTCTCTGGGGTAGTAAATTTATTTTACACTTCTCCATTTCATCATTACTTACGCATACCTTAAGAGCATCGCCTCATTTATTTGACATCAAATGGAAGTTTAAGCTATAAAACTTTTATTATAACTATTAATTTAGCACATGACAATAACAAAAAATTTATTAACATGATTTTTATTTCTGTTTAATGCTTTAAAGATAAAAATAAAATCTCATATGAATTGCTTTAGATCGAATGCTTTGAAGCGTTTTTTTGCCCCGCTCGTCTTAAGGACATCTCAGGAGACACGTCAACATGGTATAAAGTAGTTGCTATATTGTTGCATTTTTACTTGATCTCGCCATGACCAGCCTAATTTATTTATTTAGCCTACTCCATCTGGAAGTAAACCTTCCTCCGGACCTTCTTCCAGGAGTGGAATGCCAGGAGTCAGGCAGCGAAAGGTAATCATTATATTTATGCAAGCTTGTGTGTGAATTAAGGGAATTATCTTAATAATTAAGACAATAAAGTCATGAAACCATAAATAGAATTATTTTTCTTTGTGAAATAGGTCTTGCCTGTAGCCTCGCGTCGCCCGGTTACACCAGCAGCCCAAAAGAATCCGGTGTGGCTTTTCTATTCTGAGGATTCACCAGGCATAAAAGTCGGTCCTGTTCCAGTCCTTGTTATGAGTCTTTGCTTTATTGTGTCTGTTTTTTTGCTTCACTTTTGGGGGAAGTACACTAGAAGCGCTTGAAAATTCTGTCTTGTGTAATGAATTATTCTTATTTTTCAATCCCTTATATTTTAATAGTGTCTCTGATATTTGCTTTTTCCATTACGTCTGGGGAAGACGTATGATCACTGAGTAAATGAGATCTTATGTCGCCCAAATTGTTTCACCTGCCAAATTGCATAACGCCTCCCACCTAACTTCATAAAGTTTATGCTAGTTTGGGCTTCCTTGACATTTCTCTGAAAAAGGCCTCACAATTACTAACCGAAGCATGCGCGAGCGCATCACAATGTCTCCGGTGGTATTATGTACTCAGAAAATCATGCTGTTCAATGAAATTAGGGACAATATCACGGCTTAATATCCATGTCTACAATTTTCACATTGACGGTCGCTTGTTGCATGGCCTTGCCCAATTCATTAAATTAATCTTTTTTTCGTTATTCCCCTTGCTATTGATTTGATCCCATTTTGCAGAGCATGACTCTGTGGTTGGGTCTTAGGATTTCTTAACAGGGTACTTTGATGTCTGGATGGGACTCTTTAACTTCTAAAACTTGCGTATTCACCTTGCCTAACGTTGAGCCGCTAGTAATCGTGGGCTGCTCATTCGACTAAGAGCAGCTCGCACACGAGGGTTACGATAAATGACCAAACCCAACCTCGCAGCGTTAATAGTTTATAGGGTCCATGGCAAACAACTAAGGACTCAGAACCACCTACCTAAGTGTTGACCCGATCAAGCCACATAGGGGATCCGATTGGTGGCTCTGGCCACAAGAATGTTATTTCCTGTCAGTCTACCACCTTGTCTTGCGAGGTTAACTTTTCGCAGCATTCATTGGTTGGGCCGGCTCCACGTGGTAGAATGCAGCCATACACCTAGGGACTCTGGTTTGAATACGGTGGAATCATTTAATCATGAGCACCCAGTGACTAAGTCGGCTAATATTCTATGAGTCCGTGCTGGAAATCGTCTTACCCTTGTATCCTAACCGTAATACCGCACTCATGGAGCAATGGTGCTTGACGAACAAGTACTGACAAAGATGGGTCGCACAGGGGATTCGCAAGGTTTAGAAGCATGAACTGGTTCCTTATCATTTTTTTATCACCTCTTCTCCCTAGGATAATCAATATATAACGATAACCGGCGTCGGGGACCCAGAGGCATCTTTTGGTCTGGATAGTCGGGCTCGGATGCATCGGCGGTGGCAAAATTCCATCCCTTATGGCTAGCACGTGCCCGGCCTTTCTAACGTGCCAAAAAGTGATGCAAATTCGGGATAAAGACGCCGAGTTAATTTTTAGGAAGAAAGATAGTCGGATTTGCTAGGGCAACAAGATTGTTTCGGAAGAAGCTCAGTAAGCAAATAAATTAGTTCGAGTATAAGAAAAGCTCCGACTCCAAAATATAATTCGGTGTATCCCATTGATGAAGGTTATTGCCGAGTTCAAGGTTGTCATTCCGAACCTAGACATCAAGGGTTTCAAGATCGCCGCCACATGCTACATAAGCTTCTTTTGCGTGAACAAACTCATCAAGCTCAGATAATTCATGGCTTTCCTAGAGAAGCG